CTTTCTTTCTTTCTTTCTTTCTTTCTTTCTTTCTTTCTTTCTTTCTTCCTTTCTTCCTTTCTTCCTTTCTTCCTTTCCTTCTTTCCTTCTTTCTTTCCTTCCTTCTTTCTTTCTTGGGAGTGAGGAGGCAAAGGGTCATGTTCTAAGGCTAATTACTTTTTCAAGCTCTGTCCATAACTGTCACATTCTCCTTCCAGAATTTCAAGTTTGGGATCTACCAAAGTAAAAGTCCAAGGGCTCTCATCTCATTTATTTACTGTACATTAAGCAAGGCTCTGAACATGTATAGAAGTGATTGTTTATAAATAAATTTATAGTATGGAAAGCTACTTTATTGGCATCTATAAACCTACTTATAGGACTATTTCTTCAAAATTTAGTCCAGTTGGTTGGTAATCCATGCATATTCTATTGCATACATAACTATTCCACGCATACTTAAGGCACTATAGAAGTTAATTGTCAGTATCACATAGATTCTTTGCTGTTACCAGGCTTGTTCCCTCCCCACCCAATTTGCATAAGTTATAGGATCCTTGTATAATAGACTTAGAGCCAGAGGAAATAGACTTTGGTCATCTGATCTGGCCCTCAGGTCCTCAAATGTTATGTTTCTGCCAATAAAAGACATCTTTCATTGTTGCATATTTCAAGCATATTCTTGAAAAAGCATAATTCATATGCTTTTGCATTTTCACAACCAACTCTTCCACATAACAGAAAAATAGCAATAATAATTCACTTTTATAAAGTACATTAAGGATTACTAATCTCCTTCTTGACACTAAAAATGAGAGTGTGACAATATGAATATTATATTCATTTTACAGCCAGGGAAAGTAAAATTCATAGCAATTCAAACACTTGTTCATGGTCACACAGATTTTAAGTGTCACAACAGGCCTGTTGACAAGTCCAAATCTCTTTTCACAGCACCAGACTACCTCTCAGTACCCTAGTGACAAATTTTAAAGAATTTGTAATTCTCAATGTAGTTATTGTAATGGAAGAAACATTTGTAGAGCATTTATTCTGTGTAAAACACTGGACTAACTAACTCTACATGTAATGCCACTCTTGTGTTTTCCAGAGGTTTCTGCAGTTTTTGAAGCTGATACTTCTATTACCTATGTTTTCCAAGAGCCTTATCCAGTGACCAAGAATACAAGTCTTTCCTCCTCAGCCATTTATGTAGATGCTATGCCATCATCCAAGGAGAATATTGCATTTAATTTTTTGACGGGCCAAACACCCAGCCTTCTGCTGTACATTGACTCTTACTCTCAGGACTACTTGGCTGTTCTTCTCTGCAAGAATGGTAAGTGTTAAGACTATGGGGTTGGATGGATACCAACATGGTGCTAGAATGACAGTAGGTGCCCTCTGGAATTCTCATTAATCGTAATTTGAATTTAGTTCCCTTGATGTTGCCTACTTTCAGACAAAAGCAGCTAGGAAGAATTAAGCTTTACGGTTCACAAATTGGTATTCAAGACGACAACTACTTCAGTGCTGAAGTCTCAAGTACTGCAACCTTAATTTGACTCAACTGTAGAATAGTAATCTTTATTATTTATTCCATGCTGGAGCCCATTAAGTGTCAAGGAAAAAAAAATCCTAAGAATAGCTGCAATCTTGTGAAGACTTTTGGCCACAAATATCTTGTCTTCTTTATTGAAATTTTTTCTCCTGGGTCTTGTTTTGGGGAAAATAAAAAGCTAATGCACAATTAAACAACATTTATAGACATATAGTCCCCATCATAGAAAGTAATAAATACTTGTGTACTGTCAATTGTTCTAGATGATATCTGAAATCCTATGTTCATTTCTGAGAGCCATATATTGGGGGGGGAAACTTTGACAAAATTACATCTAGAAAAAGGAAACCAAAAGTGTGAGGAAGATAAGTAAACTATTTCCTAAAAGTAATAAATTGTGCCCATTTATCCTTTCCTAAAAGAAATTTGTAATCTATTTACTATTTTTAAGACACTGTTCCAAGCATTGTAGAAGATAAACAGAGAAATATGATATAGGACATGCCCAGAGAAGATGAGACAGTGGGGTTTGTAAAAATATATCTTCAAATGTTTGGAGAGCTTCTGTGTTGAAGATGACCATTGGATCATAAGATCCTAGATTTACAGCTAGAAGAGACCTTAGTGTCCACTGAGTCCAAATGCCTTTTTGACAGGTAAGGAAACTAAATCTGGTATAGGTTAAGTGACTTGGTCAGGAACCCTCATGTATTAAGTGTCTGAAGCCTGATTTCAGTGTAGGTCTTCCTGACTCCAACCCCCTAGATTTTTCTGTTGAACCACCTAGCTGCCTCAATGACTTTTTCTAAATTGTTCCAGAGGACCGAATGGTTGGACACTACAAAGAGTGTTATTGTTGTTGTTTTTTTCTTAAGCAAGAAAGAATGTTATAATAATTAGGGCTGTACAAAAATGGAATTGTCTCAAATCAAGATCCTTATAGCAAGAAGACTTTAAGCAGAGACTGGCTAACCATATGGTAGGAATGTTTTAAGAGTTATATCTTTACTGAATTAGATATTGGGCTAGATTAACTTTAAGATCTTTTCTAATTCTACAAATTATTTTTGTCATTTCATCCATTTAAAATGTTCTGATATTCATCTTTTACTTCATATCCTCAGTACTTAGCATAGTACCTGACACACAGTAGACACTTAATAAAGGGTGGTTGATTGACTTCCTAACTATATCAGAATCTTATATAAATACCTGGGAATAATGGTATATGGAATTAAGGATTTAAATTTACATCTCAATGGAATTTATCTCATGCTATTAGATTCTCATTTAAAAGCTAATGCTCTTCAAAGTTGCTTAAAAAGGTTTCTGGACATTGTTCTATTTTATATGTTAAGGATGTTTGTCAAAGTGTTTTGATATGCCTTGATGAAAACTATTTTAATACTCCAGTATTCAGTGTTAAGTAATGAGTAATAGATCAGGAGTGATTAGAATGATTGAAATCTTATAGGGTATGGGGACAAGTTCTTTCTCTTGAGGTTTATAATGACAGAGATAAATGTTCATTTCTGTTAAGTAGAGTAATTGTAATTCAACCTATATTTAGGAGAAGGGTCAGGAAGACCTATGAAATTATTTCTAGCCCTTGGATTTTGTGTGCCTGTCTCTACATCCATGGAGACTCTCCCCGCTTAAGAGCCTATATAGCAAATACTAACCAACCTGGTATGTTTAAAAAAATGATATCTTTTGGTTTTCCACCACCTTCATTTCTAAATATGCATGTCCCCACTTGTAACAGGGTAAAGAAGAAAGATTAAAAAGAAATCCAATCAACAAAACCAACACATCAAACAAGTCTGACTATATGTAGTTTCCCAACTCTGCAAAGAAAGAAGATTTTTTTTTATCCTAGTGGACTGTTTAGTAATTTTAATTATACAGCATTTTATTTCCTCTTTTTTTTTTAAAAAAGTTGTTCCTGTGATTGTCTTACGCTGTTATGGTTATTGTGTTCATTGTTTAGATAGGCCTGCTTACTTCATTTTGCAGCAGGTCAAATAACTTTTCTGCTTTATACAGTCTTCATATTTATAATTTCTTATGGTTCAGTAGTATTGTATTATATTAATGTGCCATAGTCTTTTAGCCATTCTCTACTCTTTAGATATCTTCTTGCTTTCCTTCCTTTGCTACTGAAAGTACTGTTACAAATATTTTGACATTTATAGGACTTTTCTTTCTATCTTCATACTCTATAGGTTATATGCCTAGCAATGGAATCTCTGCATCAGTGGGAATAGACATTTTCAGTAATTTTATTAGCATAATTTTAAATTATTTTTCAGAATGGTCAGAACAATTTGTAGCTTCAATGTGGTGTGCTCTCTAGAACTCACTAGAAAATAGTGCCTAATATGATGAGGAGCTATATAAAATATATCATATGAAGAATGATTAAAAGGACTATAAGGATGTGTATTCACTTCTTCATTTCATTCTTTCACTCATTTAAAAACTTTTTTTTTTGACTAGGCAATGGGATTAAGTGACTTGCCCACGGTCACACAGCTAGTAAGTGTTATGTGTCTGAGGCCAGATTTGAACTGAGGTCCTCCTGACTCCAGGGCCAGTGCTCTATCCACTGCGCCACCTAACTGCCCCCTTCAAAAACTCTTTAATGGGTATTTGCTATGTATCAGAAACTGTGCTAGGCATGCAAGTATAGAAACAAGACAGTCTTTGCACAGAGAAGTAAGTTGATAAACATTTATTAAGTGCCCACTATGTGCTAGGCACTGTGCTAAGTACTGTTGTTACAAAGAAAGGCAGAGTTCTTATTCCCAAGGACCTCAGAGTCTAATGAAGGAGAAAACATGGTAATAACTGTTTTTGAACAAATTGTATACAACTAAAATTGGAAATGATCGACAGAAGAAAAGAACTAGAAGATAAGATATGGTGAGCTACATAAGAATTGTCTTCAAATTCTGAGAGTAGAGCTTCCAGCTCCAAAATGTCTCTATTGCCTATAGGTAGCTAGGTAGCACAGTGGATAATAGAATGCTGGGCCTACAGTCAGGGATATTTGAGTTCAAATCCAGGTCCAGAAACTTATTGACTGTGTGACCCTAACCAAGTCATTTAACCTCTGAAAGCCTCAGTTTCCTCAACTGTAAAATAGCACCCACCTCACAGCGATGTAGTGTGGATCAAATAAAAAAAAAAGTCTATAATGTGTTGGCACTATGCCTTGCATATATGCTTTGTTTGTTCCCTTTCCTATGCTTAAAAAAAAAAGTTAACTTCACATTGATACACAAAATTCCAGTAAGTAGAAATTATCTCTTTTAAAATGCAAACAGTTTGATGTTATTGCTTTCTTTACAACTTCTTGAGGTGAATTAACCTAAGGGAAGAGATGTTTTGATGAGGCAGGATGAAAAGAGGATGGAAAGTCTTAGAGCATAATGTATTTAGGTAAATAATAAGAATAGCAGTAGTAGTAATAACACATTTATATGACACCCTGTGGCTTACGAAGTGCTTTCTTCACCACAAACCTGTGAGGTAGTGCAAATATTATTATTCTCATTTTGCGCAGAAGAAAACTGAGGCTCAATTTGGTGAAATTATTTGTCCAGTGTCACACAACTGTTAAAAGTCTAATTCAGGACAACTCTGGGCTTTGGATTCTCAAATCAGACTGTAGTTTGGCTGAGGAGTTACAATGAGAGACTTTGGTGGCATGGGGGCCTTTTTAGCCTGATGGGTAGGATAGAAGAAGTGAAAAGAGGTGAGAGGAGGGGAAAAATGTGAAAAGCACATTAAAGACAAACTTCACTTGAGTTTTGACCTGAGCCATCCCCGTTGTCCTCAAAGTTCCTAGGTACTTGTGAATACAAGCAAAATGTTTTATTGACTGTATGTAATTTTGTTTCTATATGCTTTACATAATCTATGAAAAGACTTTTGCTGAAATCAGTTCTATTTTGTTCTCTTTCATCATCTGTCCCTCTTGTTTTCTTGATGGTAAAGATAAGACTCAAAATTAGTCCATATGTTCCAAGAACACTACTTAACAACATACCATCTTAGTGGAGAAGCAGGACCAGAATTTTACTTTGCTTTACTATAGAGATTACTCAAATGTTATCTAATCTCCCACTTTACTTCAGCCTTTTATTTATATCAATAGTATTAACACATACATTTACAAGACACCTTGTCTACCTTTGCAATCATGAGTACATTGGTGAAAATAATGTTGAATGGGAGCACTTTCCATTTTTAACACACCTGGCACTAAGGAGATAGAGATAAGGGGAAATCCAGTATTGGAGTATCTTCAAATCCACTGCTCAATAGCTGTTTACCATTGCCGGGCCTGACCTAAAAATATCTCAAGCTGCAACTCTTCAAAATTTAATATCTCTCCTCTCCTACTCTGAAACTAACAGGTGCCCTAGCTATGCAAAGAAATGGTGCTCCTTATAAACAGTGGAGAAGACTATTCAGTAAACACCTTAGTTCTCCAGAATAACAGTTCCAATCACCTCTGCCTGGGTGGTGTAAGTTTTCTCAAAGAAACATTTTCTGAAATTTGAGATTTTTTTTAAAGCTAGAAATTCAATAAACATTCATTGAACACTTACCGTGTGCCAGGCACTATGCGAAGTATCAGAGACTCAACACTGGTCCTACTCTCAAGATCACATTATTTGAAAAAAAAAATATATATATATATATGTATGTATGTATGTATATGTATGTGTATGTATATATTTATTGATAGCTTTTGTTTTTATATCTCC